AGCATAGTAAAAAACATATAGTAAATCCCCACTATTTACTATGCTTTTTTATAGTTCTCTGGCGGATTACGAATTAAGGCACTTAGATAGTGTGTGTTAAAGTTGATATGTTATAGTAACAGATAGTAATTTGGTTCTCTTGATCGTAATATGTACTGTAAGAATTTACCCGGGTAACCCAGACATTTTAATAATACCTGTCGCGGATCATAATGAAATCGGATTAAAATGAAATGAGATTTTCTATTTGACACTTTAAAGCCCACTTATACTTGTTTATTATAAACTCTACTCTACTCTAAAACTAACCTCTAACCCTAAAAAATGACCTCAAAAATTTTTATTTTTCAGTGGCTTGTCTATTTTTTACATTGTACAATATTTCATTTTAATCCGATTCATTTAATCCCGTTATAATATATTTGAATAATCAGCTCATTATAAAGATATTCCTAAATACACTTGCAGTATCAATAAATTTGAAAATGCAAACTTCTGTATATAATGAGAAAATTAGAATATATCCAGATAAATATACAATAATCAAGAAAATTTCATAGAAAATATGGTTGTGGACTAGTGGACTTTTATTTGAATAACTATTAGCGTTTTAGAGATAAAAAAGAGAACCTAATACAAGGTATGGCACAAATAATTGTATAATCACTTGAGGTAAGGAAAAATATGAATTTAATTAATTATATTATCATGCTTAAATTACTGTGACCATTTGATGATCTCTCATAATGTAAAAATTTTCAAATTCCTTAAGATAGCAATTTCAATAATTTTTTTTTGATTACATTTTAATTCTATACTATAACATCTATCTACATATTATATCTTGTAATTGTCTGATCAAGCACCACTAAAATTTTTCACTCTTTTTCACCTAAATTTTTAGTGAAATTACCTTGATAAATGTCTATTCATTTTTGATATTCGAAGTTATTTGAATTTGAAAATGTCAGTATGGGGAGATGCACAATTATTGTTGATAATTTCTCTTAATTGATTATTTTCTCTCAATTTATTATTGTCTTACTAAAAGAGCTGCACAAATAAAATTATATGATGAAATACTTTCCTGCTCCTCCTCCTGGTTCCCACATCTTGGATCCTCCTCCTTCTCATCTCTATGACTATACCCAAATCCCCTCGAATACAAGGATTATTGTATTAATTGTTTAAGCCAAATAATCTTAAAAAAATAAAAAGATAATCCTTAGACATTAAAATTGACATGGCATTATTGAAAAATTTTCAATAATAAAAAGGTTAAAAACATTTAATACGTACTAGGAAATTGCTTCATCAATAACACAATTGACTAGCACAATTTTTTGCCCAATCACGGGTTTGTATTTTAATATATTCCCGCATAAAATTTGCTGATCACATTAACGATAATTTTATTCAACCTAACTTTGTTATTCCATAGGGTTCTCGAAAGTGAAAACATTAGGATGAAGATTTGATCATTAATAAAGTATATGGAATAGTTACTGATAGTAAATTATAGTAGAGTGGATTCAATAAAAACTTTTTCAAAATAACCTTAATGAAAATTGTCGTAGTGAAGACCAGTACCCTTTGTATGTACTACGTTCAGAGTATGTTCGGAAATAATTATGTCAGAAGTGATGGATCAGGTGCACATGTGGGACAGGTGGCTTATAGTAGTATTAAAAACCATTAATAAAAGAGTGGTTGATGGCATTATTAAACACATAATATATGGCGTCACTGTCACCAACATGAAGAATATCTTGCATAGAGATAACCTAGAATACAGAATCCATTCGGAAGAAGAAACTTTGATCAATTGGGGTGACAATTTTGAGGAAGGAGTAATAAAAATGTAGAAAAAATAATAGAATCAACAAAACAAAAGAAGGCAATAATTTAATAGATTTCATGTCTGTATCTTAATTTAATAAATCTTTATGAATAAGGTTTAATAGATTTCACTTTTGATGAGTCTGTTTCTTAATGTCTTTCTAGATAAACAGATCACTATGGGCATATGGGCACTGTGCCAGGCACTATTGCTTTGTGCCGTATCAGTGCCTATGAGTACAAAAGTGCTGATCAACTTTAGACCAGCATCTTTGTGCCATACCCACATAAGTTTTGACCGCTTTTACGACACTTTATGCCTGGGTAATAAAGTTATAATTGAAGTAACAGGAGCACCAAACAGAGAATAGTTATAAAGTTACAACTACTGCTTGAACAAATTTATTTGTTTGAAGGTATTATAGTAATTGCATAAAGATGAAAAAAATTAAAAAAAACAACAATAATAATAATAATATTGTATGCTTTTTAGTTTTTTTATACTGGATATATTATATACAGTCAGGCTTCTCTAAATGCAATGCGACGGGACCATATGTAAAAATTTAGCCAAACGTGCACTTAGAGAGGTATTGCATTTAGGGAGGTAAAAATCTATAGGCGTAATATAGGGAGGCTTTTCATAGGCGTGCACTTAGGGGTTGCATTTAGGGAGGTCTAACTGTATTTATTTGAAATCTTTTATAATATATTTAGAAGGCCAAAGGTAAATATCTCTTCACGTCATATAAAATTTGGGCAGTGACGTCATACGTCACCATTACGTCATTGGCATTAATCAAGTAATTTCGCCAATTTAATAATAAAATTATAGAACGAACCCCATTTTTTATTTTTTATAATGTTTATAAGTTATAATTTTCAAAATTTTTATACCTTAAAAGTATAATATGATAATAAATCTCAAATAAACACAAATATGTTAGCTAATAAACGCGTACTATATAATTTACAAAAAAAATTTTTTAAATGAAAAAACTTTTCTTATAATCTACGCTGAATCGTATCTTAAAAAAGAACAATAGTAATGTTCCTTATTGTTTAAGGAGTTTCACTAAAATTAAATTTTATAAATAAGCTTTGTTAATCTTACATACTTCCGAAATGACTATAATATACTCTACTTACATATTAACTCTCTTTATAATGAGCCTTTTATAATGAACGAACTAAAAATTTAAATTTTATAATAGTTCTGTATAGAGAGAATCGATCGTATTCATATTTCTGTTATATCTTCAATTCACAAAAGAAAAATAGAAATCATTCAAGTACAGGACGGTGGAAGTTTCAATCAAAAAGAAATTTTACGAACGTAAATAAAAGAGATAATTGTGGCTGATTAATGCGCCACCAACCTGGTCACTGTCGTATGCTATTTGATATTCTAACGTCCACAGCCTTACTTTACTATAAAGGAGGCTAAACTCAAATATATACCGTTAGCATTCACTGATTATTTTCATTTCAATTTTTTTTTTAATATGCAACTTAATTTTGTTTAAATTTAATTTTCGGAGCGGTTTCAGCCCTTTCTACTTAAAAGGTTTCAATTATTTAATTATTACATTATTTTAAACTTAAATTTTGTCTATATTATTGCTCGATTCTATAATCTATTGTTGATAAGATCTTTGCCAAGTGTCAATTTTTTTTTTAAAAAAAAAAAAGAACCTCCACTATTTTGGAATTATATCTAAACTACTGTATCTGCTATGTTCAAATGTATTTCCTATAGGTCTAATTCAACGGGCACGATACGATCCATTTTTCTGCACAAGTCTCGTGCGATATAATGCCATGAATTTTTAATCAGCTGACTACCTATTTCCCATACACGTTGCCTCTTTCGTTGATATTCATTTTCTGATATTGAAAGTAATATTTCATCAATAAGATGTGCATCATCTCTACGAATAAAAACTACCATACTAAGAATAGCAAAAAAAAATTTTTATGTTAATAGAATTGTTATTCAATATATAATAGTATTAGAATGAGAATTGAAGAATACCTATTCCAATCAACATCGTTTTCAAAAGGAAGTACAATTCCATCAGAGATTATCACGGGCACAACACCAAAGGCCAAATACTCCCAAAGTCTAGCAATACCTAGAGTTTGTCCTTGAGGAGCGAGCCCAAACTTTGCCCTTGCCAGTAACCAAGCATAATCATCAATTTTAAGATCTATATCCTCATCAATATCATATCTTGAAGAATGAGCCAATCCATTAAAAAATAATGATATAATGGCTGCTGAATAATCATCTTCAGGTTCAATATTTCGACAACAACCTCGGAAGATAGCAAAAACATTTCTAGTATTCATATTTCCATCTTCAGTGACATATTTCCTTGGATTTATCTTGATCAAATCCAAAATGTCAGCAATCGAAGGAACTACAATATCATGCATATGACGATACCTATGTTTCATGATACCATTAGATCTTTTATCTCCAATGAAGGTTAAGAAACTAGCATTCAACAATAAATTCAGACTTTCAGTATAATAAGAAGGAATTTCGATAGAAAGAGTCATAATATGATCCTTCCCGTTAGTTCTATTCCAATAAGGATGTTCTTGAATTATCCAATTCATTAAGGGAATAGAATATTGATTATCCAAATTACATGGTTTAGTATAATTCCAATAATTATTATTCCAGCAATTCATTAAATAACAAGAACCAAAAAATGGGACGAAAAAAAAATCCGCATCTTTAGGATTAGAAGTTACATAAAGATCTCTAATTTTTCCAGGATTTATAAGCTGTTCATAAAGTATTGCATCAGGATTATAACTTGAGAGGGTACATACTTCGTATCCATAATGACTTTGAGATATCAAATGAGAGGGAAGTTTATAAACATAAATTTTCGGTTTACAAAGTGCAAATCTTAGGTTTGATGGCCATTGAACATTTGAAGATACTAAAGGAAGTGGTTGTAATCTTATAGGGAAATTTTTACTTATATTATCCGGAGTGTAACTAAAGATATAATTGAAATACGAAGAACGTGATAATAGAAACAGCGCATAAAATACTAGGTAGTTTATAAAAAATATAATAGGTATTAATATTAGCAGTTTTCGAGGTCGCATTGCTAGATTCATAGAACGTACTTGTATGCTGATCTGACCACTTGCAGATAATTCCAGAACTATTTATACGTATATTGTATAACATTGTATTAGGTTATCATTATACGTAGACTTAATAAGTCTTACATTACTGCATGGTAACCAATCATAATTTTAGGCTCTTCACTTCAGTCAATCTAAGTAGCATATTCGTGAACTAGATAAATTTTTGCAAATATGCTTTTTTATAATCATATGTATTGATTGAAAACTTATAAAGTGCAATTATCTTAATATTCCTAATTATGATCGATTTAATATATATCCGCGTTGCTTACGTAACGCGAATATACTTACGCAACGCGCTTAGGTATTTTAAATTTTTTGTGCTTATTGACTAAATCTCGATGAATAAAACAATTAAGTTTATAGCAAATATATATATATATATATATATTTGAAAAAAATTAAATAATAGACATATTTTCCAATTAAAGATTGCAAAAGTGCTTAAGTTGTTCACATTTCATTTAGTTTCTTTTTATTTACATTTATTTCCCACGAATAATCATCTATTGATTACTTAATTTCTTCTTATTCATATTGAGTTTAGTTTATGAGTATGATCATTTGTCAATTGAAATATTTAGTTACCTTTCATTTAATTTCTTATGCACACTAATCCGAGATAATAAAAATTATTATTATTATTATCATGTAAAAATAAAATTAAGAACGCTATTTACTTAGCAAAACATGGCGTATTCTCATCATTTACATAGTTTAAACCTACGTTGTGATTAGAAACACAAAATTAGGTTCGCCTACAACTCTAGTTGTGATATTAGTTGCTATATATCCCTTTACTTTATATAAATATTTTGTTTAAAATGATGATTATCTGTATCCTTAAAAAAAAAAATAGGTTGCTTGTTTATCTTTCATAATTCCATAGGATATTAATCTACTCTTTGTGACAGTTTAAACCTTATTACATGTTATAGAAATTTAGTATTACACCAGGAAGTAATTCGAGTCTCATTAATAAATTTTTTTCATTTAAACTCGAATCGATTGCATGGAAAATTAAAAGCCAATCAGATCTCAAGTAGTATTTATTATGATATGGATCTGAATCTTGATCCATTATATCGAGATTTACTTAGTCTCTTATATCAAGAGTTTGTTATAACAAGAGTGACGTGTATTCCTCAATCTGTCACCGTGCTCTTTCCCAATCTTCATTGTGGAATTTCGGAAATACATTATTATGACATCATAGCATTATGGTAATGCAGCAATATGGGTATTACACTTTACGGAAAATAACAATAATACAGCAAGAGCCGTAAAAATATTTAATTTATATAAATAAATTGTATATAAAATGCATACCATTCGCATTTCACTATAGAAATGGAACTCTGGAGTATAAATGTATAAAAATACAGATCATGCCAACCAAACAAATAAAATCAAACTCTAAATGAAATTCGTAGGAACTAATCTACATTAAGAAAACCGTAAGAAAAATTGCATTTGCGGGAATTCGGTGTATATTTGGACCAGAATTAAAGTTTGCATTCGGAGAGATGAGAAATTGCAGACATAATTTTCTTTGCTTTACTCCTGTCAAACTCTATTCTACTCCGTAAAACTCTATCCCAGTATACTCATGTGTAGGGACGTCAATGAAATATTAATGACTCAAAATTTTACTGTGACAACTTTATTTAAGTAAAAAATTTTTTATCACTTAATTTTACATATAGCTATGTATCTTTATATTATTTTTTGAATTTCATAAAATTGTAAATATGCTTGGACATTCTTGGACTTGAACATTGGACATGTAAAAAGGTCTTGAACATCAAAAAATACCATAATGTAGTAACAATTTCAGGTATAATATAGAGGA